ATGCGCGTGCACTTTGCGAGCTTGTACCCGGCTCGTAACGAGCGCGCTCTGCCCTCAAGGGCGAGCATTGGTTAATGGCAGTCATGTGACTGATGCAAGCCAGATCCTTTTATTTAGCAAAATTGAGATTAATAGTTACATTTTATTGTTGAGGGGCAAAGACAGGGCTCCATACGCACATACACATTAAAAAAAAAAACCCAAGAAAAGGGCACTTGAGGCATCCTGGAGGAAAGGGGCGGGTGCTCAAGCACCCTCCGCCCCCCCCTCTGCACGTGCCTGCACTCACTGCAGTCATCTTGCCTGCATGCCCTGCATGCGCTCGGCCAGTACTTTGCCAGCTTCCAGCATTGTAAATGTAATTGGAGTAATCCATTAACAAATCACTTAAATCCTCAAACAGATCTAAACAGATTATTTTGTGTATTGATCTTGACACTGTGTTTATGTGAGTGATTGTTAATGTGATGACAGACTATGTGGCTGCACTCTTTTTGTTTGTCTGCCATGTTACTATGCAAAGTGTGAGTTAATTAGAGTGTGTTATTGCCATTTAAAGTGTGTGGGTTTTGGGCAGCACCTATGTTGTCCACAGTGGTGAACAAGTGTAAGAGGGGCATGGATACCCTGGGCCAGAATTTCTAGCTACGCCCCTGATGGTGAATAGCATCCATTGGATATGTAGCTGTACAGATGTCATATCAATGTTAAGGTACTGTGTTGAGTGCGTGTTTATGTGTGAATGCAGTTGTATGAGGTGAACTCTGTGTCTCTAACACATGCTCTGTGTCTCTGGTTGGTTCCCTACAGAAATCATCCCTTAAAAGTCCTCCCCCCTCTCCCTTGAAATTCCAGCCTCCCGCCCCTCATGAGCACGCTCACTGCAGACGTTTCTTCACACTCGCCTCATTCACCATTGTTCTGGTCCCAGCGCTGCTGTGCTTCCACTCTGCACCATGACCAGGACGCTCGCGGTGCTCCTGTCCCTGCTCGCCGCTCTAATCGTCATGGCCTGTGAGTACGACCGAGGAGCGTTACGTCCCTGTGGCTGAGTGGAAGCCACCACTGCCATCCAGGAGATACTTCTAAGCAGCTCAGAACTTATTAAAGTTATTATCTATGTTTATTATTATTTATTGTTGAACTTTTTAGGCACTTTTCAGGAATTTTCTTTTTATCTGAGGTGTTTAGTACAAGGTAAAAAGGTATCAGGAAAAATATGAAATAAAAACATAATTGTCCTCAAACAGTCAGCAATGGGGTCCAGGGAGCAGCAGTGTCAACTGACCAGAAGGACGTGAAAGCAACGGAGCCCCAAGGTGAGCTTGTCATCCCTTGTGCCCTGTCCCATCTGTGAGCTGGCAGCACCATGACCACATCCCTCTGCTATCGCCCCCTTCAGAGCATGCCAGCAGGGTCTTCGTGTCTGGCTCGGATGCCTCGAGCTTCTTCAAGAGACGTAGCCAGCGTTCCATAAAGTCACAGTATGAGCTCAATGGTGAGACTTCTTCCTTTGTGTTCTGGATCTTCTCTTGGTCTGTCCCCACCCCTTTAAGGATGAGACGGGGGGGGGATTCACTGTTGGTTTTGGGACAGACAACTAGGTCAAAGAGAGAATCATAAAGGAGGACCCAAATCAAGATCCACTCTAAGGAAATTTTTGGACCATAGACTAAGTTAGAGACCTAGTATAGGAAAGTGCTCTGATCCCTGGACCGAGCAGTTAGGTTCTGGGGCCAGTGTGGGAGTTTGATTCACAGCCAAGTGGCCCGTGGTCAGCAACAGATGCCGTTCCCCGTAGCAGCGGTCTATGGTCCAGTGCTGTGGTTGACCAGGCTTTTGCCAGGCAACAGACGCCTGGAATGGCTGGGGGATTGTGGCATGCAGGAGGACAGGTTTCAGGTGTCTCTGGACCAGCTCCGGATAGGGGCTGGGAATGGGAAGCAGCTGGAAGCAGCTGAAGGAGTCACAGGATAGCATGGAGCAGAGCCCACACTGAGCCCACCAACCCTCATCAGCCCCTGAACAGCAGAACTACATACTAAGGGCAGACTAGACGGTCGTCAGATGAAAATAATGAAAAATAGGCTCAAGCTCTGGAAAATTATCGCGCAGAGAGTTTCCAAAAGCCCCAAGCTAGATGTGTGTGACTGTGGATCGAGCTGAAGGGTCCCCTTGGCTGCGGGGAGGCTTTGGAAGAGGAGCATGGAGCTGGAATGTGCAGGCGTATCTGTGGTTAACCCCTGGCAGGTTTCAGGCCAGGGCAACCTGTTTATACAGTTTATACGCACTAAAGACAGAGGGACCTCAGCCCCGCAATAACCTGCGTTGGATAAATCCCCTCACAACACTGGGCAAATTTGTGATTTTTGATCACAAAACAAAGCAACTTCTGCAGGAATGATAAATCTGCACAGCTGGTGAAGTTATCTAAATCCTGAAATTTACATCGATATTCACACTTTAAGAGCAAATTTCCAGAACTCGATAAGACCATGCGATGCATTTCTGTGAATTTTAGTTCTCAGCTAGATTACATGAGGACTGAATGAGTTTTTGTTCCTGGTACTGTAACACAGGGAAGCTTCTTCTCAGTCATGTCTAAATAACAGTCTGAGTGAGTTTTGGACATTTGCTCTACATTTTTTATAGCTATTTTGTTATGCTAAGTGAATCATTTCAGGCTACTTTTTCATAGTGAGGATTTCTGAGACAAATCTGATTAACTTGCACAAACTGTAGTCCAGCTGGATCAGGGTTCAGAATCCACAAGTTGACCGGGTAACTGGTGCTGGTATTTCATTTTCGACTTTTATTTGTATCATGATGGTGATTTGAATGTATGACATTGTGTCTTGCTGTGTAACACTATTTTACTGTATGGACCTCTGACATCTACGGGCAGGTTCCTTTATCTGGGTGTAGCCCCATAGCATCTGTGTGTGTTTGTGTGTGTGGGGGGGGGGGGGCATGTATATATATATGACATTGTGGGGACCAAATATCCTCATATGGTGATTAAAAAAAAAAAAAGTGTTATTTTGACCTTGTGGCATTTTTCCTGTCCTCACAAGTGCAAACTAAGTTTTATGAAAAAAAATCTCTGAATGCAATCAAAAACTAAAAATGCTAAAAGTCTTGTATTTTGTTTGGTTAATTATGGTTAAGGTTAGGGCTGGGTAGGGGTTAAGGTTGTCATAGTCGGGATTAGGATTTTGCCCATAGACATAGACTTAAATCGACAGTCTCTCTCTCTCTCTCTCTCTCTCTCTCTCTCTCTCTCTCTCTCTCTCTCTCTGTCTCTCTCTGTATGTGTATGTGATACAGGGTTGACATTTATCATTTACATTAATGCAAAATGTGTGGTTAGATGTGAGATTTGTTTTGGGGGGGCTGGGTGGTAGAAACAGCAGTCTATTTGGTTTGCTTTTGGGGGGTGTCTGGGAGGTGCTATGGCTAAATGAGTGTACTGCTGAAGGGCATGAGTCAAACTGGTCGGCATGTTAGGTGCTGCAAAACTAAATGAAAAACTACTACTGGGCTGAAAGTCTCCGTAGAGGCTGCTGATGCACTTCAAATGATCATAAGGTGTGTCTGAATGTAACAGAGTATGTGGCCAGTGATTCATTTGCTCCAAAATGATTGGATGGTGAAGGGTGACACCCATTTGGGCCTCATCCTTCATTCAACACCACCATCCAGACAGGTGATCACATGATGCTCTGCAGGGGCTATCAGGAAACATGCTTTATTTACATGTACATTGTTGTGTACTGTACATTTACAGTACAAATGACTTAAGGTCATTATCTTATCAGTGCAACTAAACTGCAAACTTTAGTGATTTAATATTAGCCTGCATTTCTACTATTGTAAACAGACAGTTAAATGTTTATGGTATTTATTTATTAGCCCAGATTAACTTGCATATATTTACAGGCACTAAAGTGGGCTATTAAGAGTTGGTGGCTGTAGATAAGGTGAAGTGTGACATATCCTGCAAATGGTCAGGGCAACCATTCTAGTATCATATTTCTACATTGCACATATTGCCCACATACAGTTGAGCAAAGACAGCGCCTAGCAGCAGATGAGCAGCGAAGGGAGTACAGAGAAGAGCAGAGGAACGAGTATGAAAACTATGTGGAGGAGGTGCGTGATGGTAAGTCATCGTCAGGATGATCCCATTCTTATTTTGCATCACTGATGAGCCACGGAAATCATTCTTACTATCAGGCTGCTGCATGGTGCAGTGGTCAGCATCAGATTTCTTTATCTTTTCTATCTTTCATGCCTAAATAATATTATTCTGATGTTTTTACACTCCTCTAAATAAAAATGACAGCAGACATATTTCTCAGAAATTCAGAATTCTGTCCACTGGTATAAAGGTCAGTTTACTGCATGCCAAATGCTTCTGTATAATAGCATATTTAGGAATCCCGTTATAAATGCATATTCAAAAGCCAAACACCGGGAACAAATGCATAATAATTAATGAAAACAAAATGACTACAGGGCAGCGTGGTGGCGCAGTGATTAGCGTTACTGCCTCACAGTGAGATGGTCCTAAGTTTGGTCCTGGGTACTTTCTGTGTGGAGTTTGCACGCTCTCTCTCTGTTCGTGTGGGTTTTTCCCGGGGGCTCCAGTTTCCTCCCATGGTCCAAATGCATGCAGGATAGATTGATTGGTGAGTCTAAATTGGCCCTGTGGGTGTATGTGCTACTGATGGGCAAATGAAGCTTCATGACCCATTTTCTGTATTTTTTTACCTCACTAGATGGTGCTCTTGGCTTGCTTTGGGGCATGCTTTGAGCCCTTTTTTGAACAGACAGCACCATCTAGTGGAGTCAAAAAATACATCAAATGGTTCATAAGTATCGTTTTGTCCATCACTAGTATGCGCCCTGCGGTGTGTTGGCGACTACCCAGGGTTGGTTCCTGCCTGCGCCTATTGTTCCCCCCTGTGACCCTAGTTGGGATACATTATGAATTTATATCTGTGATGATATTTGCATATTATGACACATTATTGAGGATTTTAAGATTAATGACATTTTCAAAATATAGGGATGAATACCTCTGCATTAGCTTAACCTCTGACCTTTGACTCTATAACTGGCTGTCCCTCCTATGCACACCACAGAGCAGGAAGAGCGGACCCGTGAGAAGACAGAGCAGTGGCGGGAATTCCACTATGATGGGCTGTACCGCTGGTACCAATACACCCGCCATCACGTCTGAGCTCCACCTGAGGGGAACATAGAACATCAAAAACATAAGGAAAGCGTGAAACCAGGGAAACTTTTCTGTCTAACTTTTTTTAGAAGTCTCTTTGTTCACTGCAAAAACAAAAATAAATTGGCTGTAGTTGATAGCAACTGAAACTTTCTACTTAATTACATTTTTAGGTTGTTAAAAAATCCTGCAGTTGTGTAAACTTCAGAACTACTGTCTGATTATTATGGTTTTTCAGATATGTTAAGTATATTTTATATATCCTCATGTCTTTGCCATAACTTTTTAGAGATCAAGCTTCCAGAGAGTTTCATAGCCTACATCCAAATTTAAGGATTTCACTCTCAATACATGTTCATTGTGTTTTTCTGTTTCACAATCCATTTTCAATACGCGTAATTAAAGTAGGATACTTACAATAAATCTTGAGGAGAAAATGTCTGATACAGACTCAAGGGAGGATTAGCGCAAAATGAAATCCTGTGTTTATGCATTTATGAGAAGTTCCATTGTTACCCAGAGTGCATCTGGGTGCAGAACCCAAACCAACACCCTAAGCTACCTACCTAGTATACCATGGGTTTCTTAATGCATGTATCGAACCTAACTATGTTTAAAGAAACTGTACAAGCGGATAATAAATAAATACTGTAATCCGAGCAAGCATGATTTGTGAATTCTGAAGTAATATTTCTTGATTGGAAAATAAGGTTATGACTTCATTTACATTGAAAAAGCTTACAAACACACACCTAACAATTTTCATGCTTATCAGGTGGCAGGGTAGTTAAAGGACTCTGCCTAACTGTATATATACTGTACATACATGTGCACCCAGGCCTGAGGAGAGGGGGGTGCAGCCAGTACATTGATCCGGGGCCTATGAAGCTCAAGGGGGCCCAGATTTTTCTGTTGAACATATGTAATTTTCTATCATGGAAATCTGTGGTTTTATAGTGGTCGTTTTTTATGGGGTTTTGACAACTTTTTACGTTAAAATAAGCATTTCTCTATGCTGAACTATTGATAACAACAATGTATTGTTAACTATTGATAACAACAATATATATAAATACCTGTACTGTATATAAATAAAAATGGGAGTAAAAATTCATAAGTACATCCTACCTGTAGTGTACTTTGCAGCCTATTCATAACAAAGCATATACTATCATCAAGTGACTATCATCGAGTGTTCTCACCTGTTCATTCTATGTGCATAGAATTTTGTATAAGGGCCCACACACCTTCTTTGTACCGAGGCCCGGATTTTCTCTCGGCGGTCCTGTGTGCACCATATGGCAACACAGTTATCCATCCTCATACATTCTGAGGCACAAATGGTTCTTGTCTCCCTGTTTCATGGTATGTTAAGTTCTGAACTTATCTAGATTATAGCTCATCTACATAAGTATTGCTGTGCATCCACAGAAAGAATAGGAAAATACAGAGGTCATCACATCTCATGGGAATATGTCAGGAGTATTTGACTCAGGATGAAAACAAAGGCAGATGCCAGCTAAATTCAGAGCAATGGTATGATAATATGAACTACCCCCCCCCGCCCCCCCTCCACAGTGTGGAGCCCTAGTATCAGATTCAGCTCCACACTGGCTGGCAGGAACTTTTCTAAAAACAATGAACAGATATGAAATTAATTTCAGAACATGTGAATTAAAGACCTTGCACATGGTACGTTTTAGTGGTGGTAAGATGATTTTACATGTACTGGCTTGCACATCTTCTCCTCACTTAACCTTCTTAATAACTACACTGCCTAAATCAGAGACATCTAATAATCTTGGTACCTCTGTCTGCTTTCGGATAAAAGGCCCTGGACAGGAGCCTCTACTGCAGAACTCATTAGACTGAAACAGATTCCCAGATTCCATGGAATATCATTAACATATTGGGATATTCCTGACCTAACAGGCAGAACGTATGCATTCTGAATCAGAAAATTTTTCCACATGGTGTCCAATATCAAAAAAGTACTGAGTATATATTCCACAAATGATTATAAGGTGGAAAGTATCACGTCTTTGAACGTCTTGGCGTAAGTCCAGTACCAAAGCTGTAGAATTCCTTTTCTAATGCAGATTTCAAAAATCAGATCACATCACAGCTGAAAAGCAGAAAGGGCTGAGGAGATGAAGGAGGAGATGGAGGGAGCAGGGATCTCTGAGCCCAAGAGATTATGAGGGACAATACTGCTGTGTGTCCTCACAGAGCAGATAGGAAGTACAAGCTTCCCCCAGCTGTTTTTGGTACCCTGGGGTAGGACTGTGGTGGAGGATGTGGACAACTAGCCAAAATGAACATACTGATGTCTGCTGATGTCACTTTAGGGTACTGAATGATAAAGAATCTGAGCGATTTAAATGAAGTTCCACAGTGGGTGTAATTACTGTGTCTGGTTAAACCCAATCAGTACCATTGTTGAACGCTGAGATTACCCGAGATATCACGTTACGGCTGTATTACAGCATCTCTACTGTGAAGAGTTGATTCACTCATATTCTTTGTACATTGTGATGTAGGGATGGCTTGAGATGTTAGCCTAGACCAGGGGTCCGCAACCTTTTTGACATGGAGTGCCAATTATATATTTTCTTGTTAGTCCGCGTGTCATGTTAACGACGGGGGGGGGGGGGCTACCATCGAGTAATGCAACAGCCAAGCAACAACCAATGACATTTCAACATCATAGACGACGTCTGAAAATTTTTTATGTGTTTAATAATTAGGGTTGTGATCTAGAGACCTGCGCGGGACGAATTTTTCAGTCCCACTCCCGCAAGATTCTGTCCCGCTCCTGCTCCCGCCCGCTCCCGCAAGATTCTGTCCCGCTCCCGCAAAAAAATATATATTATTTTTTCCCGCTCCCGCCCGCAGTATTCAAGTTTTGTCCCGCTCCCGCCCGCAAAATCCCGCAGGTAAACATATAAGTAGTTTTATTTTTACCGCTTCTTCCCGCTACTCTGTTATTTGTTTCACTTGCTTCCCTTTCGAGTATATATAAAAAAGAAACGGAAAATAAATAAATATGTTTCGTTTTATTTTAGTTTAATTAAATGGAATGATGAACATGGACATGAACGAGGAGCTTTTCAGAACATAGAAATACACTCAGAACAGTTAGAAATAGGCTAATAATATTGCAATGAAACAAAATAATAATAAACGTTGATTTCTCAAGTGGTCAAACAGAAAAGCATTTGGCCTAATACTGCTTCAGAGCGTTAGCCTTTAATTTAGTCGTTCTTGTTGCTTTTGTGCAGTAGATAAATAATAGAGTACTTGTTTTTAATAAATTAATTTTAAGATAATTCCATTTTGTTGTCCACCTGATGCCTGTGCTGTTTTCCTGCCCTGCTGTTTCCTGTTATACAGCACTGTGCAAAAGTCTTAGGCAGTCAAAGCAAATATTTAAAGCTATTTATCTGGGTAGTAAGTGTATATTTATCAGAAATAAACAACACAATGTAACATTAAAAGATATGCAAATTAACAGTAACACAATAAAAACCAGAATTTCTTCTGTCCTCCAAAAAGTTACCGATATCTAGTTGGATGGATAGATGAACAACACTTCAGTTCCCAAGACTCTCCTCAAGGGCACCCCAGCCATTCCATGTATTTGTTAAATTTCACCACCTACTCACTTAATTGATTAATTAATTTTTAAAAACTCATTGACAGGCATAATGTCATAGATTTACACCAACATGAAGACAATTTAAACATAATTTTTTTTTACTTCTTTAAGACTTCTGAACAGTATAGTTGGCCCTCAGTCGCTGCTGGTTCTGCATCAGCAGATTCAGCCAACAGTCAGGTCAGGTCAGGTGTTTAATCACAGAGCTGATATGACGAAACACCTCAGGATCCTGGCTGGCAATCCCCCAGGCAGACACACAGTCCAATCCCACCCTCCAGAAATGGCCATCCATCTGCCGCAGCCAGGTGTTACATGGGCATTCCCTTGGCCTGGTCCAGCCGCTCAGGTCCTCAGCAACAAGGATCCTGCGAGCCAGATCACCCTCAAGGAAACGTGCCACATGGCTGTATGCCATAACTGACAATCCCTCGCAATGCAGGTAATGTGCCTCATTCGGGACTCCTCCAGCAACTGCTTGTTCAACACAAAGTCAAAGCAGTGGTACCCAAGATTTCTCCGAAGAGATACAGTACTGAAGGAGTCCAGTCTTCATCTCAGCTCACTGGATAGAGTCCATGTCTCACAGCCATACAGCAAGACAGGGAGCACCAGGACTCAGACTCCTCACTCAGTCTCTCAAGATCCCTTTTCAGAGCCTCCATTGATTCTGTAAAAATCACAGCATCGTCTACAAAGTCAAGATCAGTAACAGGTGCCCCACAGCTGCTGGACCTCACGACCTTGCCCAACACCCAGTCCATGCAAGCATTGAACAGAGGAGGAACAAGAACACACCCCTGACGAACCCCAGAATCAATGGGGAAGAATGCAGAGGTTCTTCGTCCACTCTGCACAGCACTCACAGTACCAGTGTACAGGCCAGCCATAATGTCCAGCAACTTTGGGGGGATCTCACAAAGTCTCAGGATGTCCCACAGGGCAACTTGATCAACTGAGTCAGATGCTTTACGAACATCAACAAAACCTATGCCAATATTCACGCTTGCACTCGATGAGAACCCTAAGTGCCTGGATGCGGTCAATGGTAGATTTCTTAGGCGTAAAACCTGCTCCGGTTGCTGGTAGATGAGCAAGTGATCACAGCTCCTGTCAAGGATGACCCTAGTAAGGACCTTACCTGGCACTGAGAGCAGTGTTATCCCCCTATAGTCGCTGCAATCCAGGCAATCACCCTTCACTTTCCAGATAGGGACTACAAGTCCCGTTTTCCAGTCATTTGGGATGACGCCTGACTCCCAAATGGAAGCAAAGATTTTCCAACCGAAGATTGAAAATATTCAGGAAAAAAAAATCCAGAAAATTCCAAAAAGTAAAACTTGAATTTGCAGCGCACCGAGCACTATGCAGAGTCCACACAAATGATATGAAACATAAGAGGGTTAACAAGCGAGAAGAACCAGGGTTTTGGTGAGTGTAAACACAGTGTGTGTGTGTGTGTGTGAGAGAGAGAGAGAGAGAGAGAGAGAGAGAGATATCATTTAAAGTATACTAGAAGATATTCATATGTTGTCTGGAAATACTATGCCATTTTATGTAAGGGATGTAAGCATCTGTGGATCTGTGGAAAGCTGCAGTTATATACTGTTTAGTACTTATGTCTTATTTTTGTCTCATTCAATGGATCGTACACACAGTACTGTCCAATCATTATCTTTGGACAAGTTGCTATGGTGTTTGTATGCACAAAAAATACTGCATAATGAATTATAAACCAGTATTGCTAAAAATGACTAATAATGAACCTGGCTAGAACTAGTATTGCTAAATGGCTTTCTGACTTGTACTGGAACTCAGTTAACTCGGGTGTGACGTCATTCCCAGCTCCAACTTTCAACCTCCAAAGTAAATGGAACACAACATAACTGAGTTAAGTGTTGCAATAACCAATAATGCATCCTTGCAATGTTCAGATGCCCTGCTGACCAGGTGACTGATTCTCATCCTGAGGAGAGGAGGATCCCAGGTCACACAGGTAGTCACACTGTGCATTGTTGCATTCCTTGGAAAACACCTGAACTGAAACCTTGAGGACCTTCAGATGTCCTTCATGTTCCATGAGGTTTCCTCTAGTTTCTAAATGACCGAAGCTACACACTCCTCTTTATGAAAAAACACACTAATGTGCTGGGAGCCTTGAGCTATCTGGTTTAATCCAAGACCAAGAATTACTGTGAGAAATGTTAGCATTTACACCTGAGCAGGTGACACAACCAAAAACTTCAAAGATCATCAACCATGGAGAGCAGTGTCTTAACCACCATTCCTGAATCCACTGCTGATTTTCATTCTCATGTACCATTACTGCAAACATGATCATTCACAAGGACAACAGCAGATGCTAACAGAAACAGCCCTTAGCCACCATTCAGAATGATGAAAATGCTACAATGATTAACTTTGCATATATTTATTGTATATTTAACTGATGATAATACATTGACATAATTTATGAAATACAATGCATATGTTTGTATTTCAGATCCACAATATTACCCAGAGCCATTCACAAACACTGAAAAATTACTTCAACTGAATTACATTTGTCGTACCACCACATTCCCATTTTATTACACTAAAATCATGCCCTGTGTTCCAGGCTGGGCAATATAAATAATATATTGACTAAATATAAAATTTAAATAAGAAAACGAGAAACTTTGATACCCTGTCGACAATAAAACCTTGCTTTCTTGATAGCACATATGAGCCTATCACATCACAGGAACAAACACAATTCCAAAAAATCATCTGGTATTCGGTGAAGAAATATTGTGAATAAATCAGGCAAGAAGACATCAGTGTTGTGGTGGTACTTTTTGCAGTTTAAAGTCATGACATTCAACAGACTGGTGCTGTGTACTGTAAACCCTGCTGAAAACTTGTGCCAACTAAAACTGGAAATATTGCAAACTTATTTCACCACTTGACGTGCTGCTGTCCAGTACTGCATTAGTTAACCATGGGACACAGGAATTTATCTTGCATTATGGGATGAAAGACAACTGTATCAACAATTTCAAACCCGTTCCCTGAAATGAGCAACGAGGCAGTCGGAGAAAAAACCCAGCAACAAACTGTACTCTCTGTATTTTCCAGTGTTGCACCCTAAGACAAAAAAGTACAATTTATTTAGAAAAATTTGATTCCAGGTTGCATTTTTTTTTTATTATTCTGAATCTGTTTTATAGGAATTCTAGAAGATTTTTAAGCAAAAATTGAGGCTTGAAGTTAATATATAAAAATTAATTATATCATGATAATTATCAATATCAACTGATATGAAAAAATAATCATAATCATGATAAAATATTTTGCCATACTGCCTATCCCTATTCCAAGTCAAAGCACTGTGTAAGTGCTTTTTGGTGCTGAACAAATTGTTTAATCACAGAGCTGACGTGCAGCATCAAACTGTTCTTTTGAGTGTCTGCAGACTTCTTCCAACACATGTGCAGGCTTGGAGTCACAGGATGCTCTCAGGAAGATACTCAGACCTTCCTTCAGGGGGCAGCCTGGGAGATAAGGACTCCAGCAGAGCTCAGGTTATGCACTCCATGATGTGGATCTGGAGGCTATCCATATCTGGCAGGATGTCATTGCATTTGGGGCAATGGAACTCAGCGATGTCCAACTCGTGGTTGACAGCTTCAGTCATCAAACATGCCAAAAATGCACATTAATTAAATATCATTGTATTGGTTTGATCAGGAGGTTAATTCTGGTCCAGATTTTGAACACAGTGCTATAATGAACAAATAGGTATCAAGAATGGGATGAAACTCAAACTATAAAGTTCTGGAAAACTATCACACTATCTGGGCTCTTTTTCGTCACACTACCCAGTATCTTAAGCCCCAAGATACCTCTTACCTGGTGATACATTGCCCCCTGGTGGACTGGCCTCACATGGCACTGACCCATGGCGGAGCTGTAGCTTTGTCACAGTTTGCCTGCAATATGCAGCAAAAAAAATGCAAGCTTTCCATCCCTTCCACTAAGATGACGGACAATAAGGAAAAAAACTACAGGCTTGAGTTACTGTACCTATCCATAACACATTGTCTAATTACCCATTTAAAACTCTGTACCTGTCTTTAACTCACACACTTGTCTGATTCCTTATGTGACACCCTGCACATATCTCTGACTCACACAACCTTTTACCACCCTGTACCTGTCTCTATTTCACACATTTATCAGCCTGTATTGGTCCCTCACTGATGTTCTACCTGCCCAGACACTCAATTTGCTCCTGCAGCTGAAGGTTCTCCTTCATTATGTTGTTCAACTCCTCAGCCAAGCGCTCCTTCTCCTCATGGATCTTCTCCCTCGCTTCTCTCTCTGCATAGAAGTCTGATGAGTACACTTCTGCCTGTAGGATGAGCAGAGCGCAGGTCACCTCCCCCAGCAATTACCTGCTACTCCTACTCCTACTCGGTCTTGCTAACAGCATTAGCATCAGGAGTGTTCTTGGAGTGAGTACACAGGAGCGGTTTGGAGTGAACATGTAAAATCTTAAGCAGTTGGCCTGCTGGAAGGATCTCGCCTGACATTTTTTTAAAAAAGGTGCCTTAGCTACTCCCCACTACTTTCCCCAAGGTGGAAACAAAAAATTGTGGATAGAACGGTACATCTGAAACGATAAGTACCTAATAGACAGGAATGATTATGTACAAAATTGACTTGTCCTCCTTAGTTTTTGTATGTAATCATAAATCTGCCAGACATTTGTTAAAACTTGAATAAAAGTTAATAGTTATGCTGGAAAAGACTCTAGTTCACAGCACACAATAGTGTTCTCTGAAATACCTGCAACATCACAATATTGTCAGTAGTGATGGGGTCAAGACCACCTACATCGAGTCCAAATCTTGAAAGATAGAGTCCAACACCAAGACTTAAGGGTGATGGAGAGTCAAGACTGAGACTTTGGGGAGACTGACACCAGAAAAATAAAGTTCATTATCAAGATCACGGTTTTAATTATGTTTTACTATTATAATCACCCCTGCTAATAATTAAAAGCAAAGCTACTTCATTTAAGCAGGACCATCCATCCATCCATTTTCTGTAACCACTTGTCCTATTCAGGCTATGGGCGCATGGCATGACATAAGTATTTAATCACAAATACTCAACACTGCACCACTGCTAACTTGGTTAAATTTTTATGTTAGCCACTTAGGATGAGAGATGTGTAAAAAGCTGCGTGTAAGAAATCTAGTATAGTGAGTTTTATTTTTATTGATTGTATTTTATTTTATTAATATGCATTGATATTTTGAGAGGAGTAGGAGAAATGAGAAAGCTTATCACAGGTGAATAAAAAATTATTCTTGCATATCGATCTAAAATTGCAAGTATGAACCTTAGACTCTATAGTTCAAGACCAATTCAAGACTGAGTAGAAATGCTTTCAATTTCCGGACCAAGTAAGGGAAAAAGTGGTCTCAACACCAAGACTGGACTCGAGTATAACAACATTAGATGTCAGTGTTAACAGTCAAAATGGAGTATGTCTCTGTCTATAATCTGTTCCTTGACTATTTTCTCCAGCTGGACTGCAGGGCATTCTGGGAATGTCTTGCCAATGTCACATGCGGTACCTGTGCCTTGAACACAGAGACAGTCTCCAGTTCTGCCTCCTTCTTGAAGATTTCCTGCTTCATCTCATCAATCTTTTGTTGTTTGGTTGCCAGGGCTTCTTCCGCGGCACCGAGCCTGTCATTAAGGCCATTCATCTCTTCCTGTATGAGTTGTATGAACAGGCATCAAAGGTCAGATAGCTGCGTTTGAATGGCTTTCCCTGCCACACATGGCACACATACAGTACCACCGAAAAATGATTAATGTCACTTGAAGACTATATTCAATGTTTAATACAATGCTGACTTCTTTAAATTCATAAAGTGCAATCACAAGCTGCAATATAGTTTCTACATGTATTACATAGAACCTCTACAGGAGGATTAGGATGGGTTCAATTTGTAAGGTGAATGAAAGCCTTTAATAACAGCCTTAGTTTCTCTGATTTGCTTCTGCATCCCCATATATTCCTCATAGAGCTGGTCATGAGCATCCTTCAGCTGAGCCAAATTCCTTCTGTGAAAAAATGGAAAGATAAAACAGTCTCGGCCTGCCATCATGAAGCTTCCCTCAGTATTTAGCTCTGTGTGCTAACAATGCTAATGGTAATCAATGGTATCAAACCTCCATGCTATGATCTGGTCACTAGTAATGTCCAAATCATGATCCACAGTATAGTTACAGCTCACCTCCCTTCCTCAGCGTTATTCTGCACTGTCTTCATGCAGGAGCTCATGTTGTCTAACTGTTTTTTCAGCATCTCATTCTCCTGCTGCTTCTCCTCCAGCTGTAACTTCATCTTTGTATTCTCTAGCCACTTCTCTTCCAGCTGCGCTTTTAGCTTCTTGTTCTCCTGCTGCTTCTCCTCCAGCTGTGATTCCATCTTCTCTTTCTCCTGCTGATTCTCTGCCAGCTGTGACTCCATCTTTTTATTCTCCTGCTGTGTCTTCTCCAGCTGCATTTTTAGCTTCTTGTTCTCTTGCTGCTTCTCCTCCAGCCGTAACTCCATCTTCTCATGCTGCTGTTGCTTCTCCTCCAGCTGTGACTCCATCTTCTCATACTGCCACTGCTTTACCTCCATCTGTGACTCCATCTTCTTGTTTCCCTGCCGCTTCTCTGCCAGCTGTGCTCTGAGCATATTGTTTTCCTGCTGCTTCTCCTCCATATGTGCTATAAGTTTCTTGTTCTCTTGCTGCTTCTCCTCCAGCTGTGACACTGTCTTCTCGTACCACCGCTGTCTCTCCACCAGCTGTGCTCTCAGCTGCATCCTCTCTCCTTCTATGTCCCTGCACCTGCAGATCATAGCAGACCAAATAAACAGCTTGTTGGTGCCCCATATCCACATACCCGCTTCACGCAACGTCCTCACATGTCCTTCTCTGAGTCCATCTGCCTTACTTGTCATGCAGGCTCTTCTTCATGTCTTCCGAATCTTCAAGCTTGGACTGCAGACTGTGCAGATCTTTGACAAGTGTCTGCGCCTGGACCTTCAGGCTCTCCATCTCTGTAGAAGACTGAGAGATAAGGAGAGCACTTTGGAAACAAGGGATGGGACACATATTATTCAGAATATTATCAATTTACAATAACCTTACAATAAAATGCACTTACAGGACTTGTGTTCAGTGACAATATAGGTGAATATTATCATGGTTATTGTTAAAAATAAAACTAACTTGAGATAAAATGACATAAAGATGCCCAGCACATGGAAACATCCTACCCCATCTCCTGTCACAGAGGGTTCATACTGGATTTGTCCATCCATGTTAGTGCTGGCATTGGACCTACAGCAGTGCTCATTGTCCTCCATGCACTGAGATTTCTGGGTCTCATTTTTGCCCTTCAAATGTGTCCATGACTCCAGTTCTATCATTCTGATCCAGAGAGAGACAGACAGAGAGAGAGTACTGCTTCTCTAGCTGGGATGGAAAATACACGTTGGGTTGTGTGTGGCTTTGTAGGGTAGACTTCTATGCTCCTCACCAGAAGGTTGCAGGTTCTATTAGGGATGGCACGGTTCATGAAAAAAAACCGAACCGTTCGGTTCGCTTGTCTCGGTTCGGAGCATGCATGCGTCGCACGGTTCGACGGTTCATGACATGCACAATGTAGCCTCGTGCCCCGTATGTGACGTCAGTGTGTTTCC